TCTTGGCGGCCGTCTGTCTGTCTGTCTGTCTGTCTGTCTGTCTGTCTGTCTGTCTGACCGTCCGTCTGTCCGCCAGGCCCTTGCCCCCGCGAGCGACCGCGAGGTTGCAGCCAGCCTCAGACACATCCCCCCGACGCCCCAATCCACGAAGCAGTGCGACGCGGCGCCATAAACAGGAACAGGAACAATGCACCGGGGCGCACCGAGCCGAGTCGAGACAAGACAAGCCGAGTAGAGTCGAGCCGAGCTGAGCCGAGCCGGGCCCTCAAGTGTGTCGGCAAGGTTACGGTCAGGCCGGGATTGCACCGCGGGGCTTCGCGACTTCGCGGCTTCGCGGCGTCCTCAACTGCAGTCGGTCGGGCCGCGGGGACGCGCGAGCGCATTCGCACAAGGACATGAGCGTGGTGGTGGTGGTGGTGGTGGTGCAGGCCGGCCGTCGGGGGTGGCGGCAGCGCCAGAACAAAGGAGGGGGACGGTTCCGGACTCGTCGCGGTGTTTCATTTCCAGCCGGCGTGCGTGTACGATTCACAACAATGGGAACGGACGAGCGGACGCGCTAACAATGCGATACCGTTTGAGGTTAGGTTGTCGTCTGCTAAACGGAGGACGTGAGCGCGGCGCGGAGCGGCCCGGCCTACTGAGCCACGCTAAACCGCGTTTCCAACACAACTCGCCCACGGCGGGCGCGAAAATGAGTGTCCTAACTGCTCTGCTATACAGTCGCCGAAAAACGATTACATTTGAAACGAGCGCTCACCCGCAGAATCGCTCACTCACTCGCTCCCTCACGGCCAATCACTTTTGGTGTCCGCTTTCACGGCGAGGCGTCGGCTCGCTCGGACGATTCCCGGCATCGTTTAATGGGGAGGGGCCGTGCCGTGACGAGCTGCCGAGCCGTGGCGGCCGTGGCACGGCACGGCGGCCGCGCGGGTTCGCAGTTCGTTTCGCACACAGGGAATCGCACACTCGGCGCGCGGTGCGGGACTGCGGGGGCAGTGCGCCTGGCCCAGCCTGGCCGTGGCGCTATCTGCGGGAGCGCGCTCTTATCTCTCCTTCCGCCGTCCTCGCCGTCCTCGCCGTCCTCGCGTCCTCGTCGGGACAAGAGGACGACACGCGACGCACGCCCACACGCTGCGCAGGGTACGCCATCGGCCCATCGGCCCGGCGGTGGCAGGCAGGCGGTGGCAGGCGGCAGGCCCGGTCTCTGGCTCAGCCCGGCAGAGCCGCCGGTGACACATAAGTGAATTCTGTGTCTGTCGGATTGTGGCAGCCTGGCAGCCTGCCGTCCTGCACAGCTCCGCGCCCCGCTATTCCCTCACTCCCTCCGGAGGAAATCTCCCTCGCATTGTCGCCGCCTTGTCGGGACACGTGCAGCGTGGGAGGGGAGGGGGCAGCGAGGTCCAGCTCGACTCTGATCCCCCTCAGAGCCCGCTCACTAATGAGAATGCGAACCGAGAACTAAGGGTGCCCCGCACTGGCCGCAGCGGCCACAGTTACGCCGGCCAGCTGATCGAAGACAAAGCCCGGCCGCCTCGCTTGCACTCATTAAAGGCCAATCTAAGGGACAGCCCGGCCGACAGGGAAGCCTCGTGCGAGAGGGGAGGCGGGGCTTGGGCCGGCCACATGAAAACGGCCATACTCCAATTACTCCTGGGGGAAATTGATTTGAGAACGCCGCCAAGCCGTGCGCGCCCCGGGCCGCCCCGGGCCCTTCCAGGAGGGGCCGCCGACGCCACGGCCAGCAGGGCCTCGAGCGCGGCAGCGCGGCCCACCACCAGGAGTGGCGGGCCCGCCAGCCCGCCAGGACCTGGGCGCCACAAAGCGAGGGCACGACCCAGCAGCCCCGACCCGGCCGGGCCGCCCTGCCAACGCCAGGCGACAAACTTGTTGAGCGGCAGCAGCGGCAGCAGCGCGTCAAAGTGTGCCGACGGCAAGCCGACGGCGAAGGGCGGTGCGCTGCCTTCACTACTTCATTACCTGGAGTGCGTAAACAGCTCCAGGTCGAGCCGTTCTGCGCCGTTTTCGGGGACGCATCGTCGCAGGCGTTGATTTTTCCAGTCACCTGTTTGGCAGTTTGGCATGCGTGCGGGACAGCCCGCCTTCGAGTTCGGGCCTCGGCGACCCGGCCCAGCTGTTCCCACTTGTCAGGCGGTCCGGCGGTGCCACACTCGGACGCCCCGGACCGCACCGCTCCGCTTGGCATGCGCACTATGCGCACGCACGGAGGCGAAGAGAGGCAGAGTTCCCGCCAGTCGGGGCCGCGCTGCGGGTGCTGCGGGCGTGCCTACCCGCCGGGCGCCGCGCTCCGCTCCGAGTCCGCGGCGGTCCGCGGTCCACAGAGGGGGACTTCGCTGGCATAGTTTTCCATTCACAGCGGAGGGGCGCATTCGCATTGACAATTCGCCGGAGAGACACCAGAAACAAAGCGAGACGGACGGGTGCGGGGCGGCGCGGGGCGTGGCTGTCTGTTTTTAGAGTCCCTCGGGGACCTCCAGGCCGCCGCGTCGCGCCGCGCCGCGCCACGCTCCGCTGCAGTGGCCATCCCACTGAGAGAAAACTCCAGAGCCAACCGCGACACCACCGCCGCCAACTACTATAGCAGAGCGAACAGCGGGGCCTCCAGCGGGGCCGTCGCCTCCGCCGCCCCGCCGCCTCGCGCAGGGGTCCGCGAAGCACTGCGAAGCACTGCGAAGCACTGCGAAGCACTGCGAAGCACTGCGAAGCTTTGTCCTGCGAAGGGCGAGTGTCGAAGCCTGCGAAGCACGCGAAGCACTGCGAAGCACTGCGAAGCACCACCTGGGCGTCCATGACGGTCGCGCCTCCCACCCCGCTCCGTTTCGCGGTAATTTCTTTTGTCTCGCTGCCGATGGGGCGATGGTGATGGCGATGGCTCGGCGGGCTGGCCACGCACGCACTCCGCGGCGGTGTCCCCGCCTCGCCGCCCACCCCGCCCCGCCCCGCCCCGCCCGTAACGACGAGGCAATCACGCCGAGGCAGACACGCTGGCGTCGGCCCGCCAGGCCGCCAGTCGCTCTCTCGCTCGCACAGTCACACGCCGCAATTATCCCCCGCAGCACCGCCATGCACGCCATGCACGCCCACCGGCCGGGCCAACGCGTCCGAACTCCGCGCTCTGTCTCTCTCGCACTCGCACGGGCAGACCCACGAGTGCGAGAGAGACAGGGCGACACCGTTCGGAGAGGCACGCGTCACCCATTGTCTCCGGGCGCGTCATCGCCTCGCGGATCGCTTCATCGCTCAAACTCGGAGCGACCCGCCTGAGAGCGGGGCGACGGCGACGGCGGTGCCGTGACCAGCACACTGGAGTGCGATTAGTGCCGAGGGCTGAGGCGGCTGAGGGATCGGGGGGCTGGCCGGGTTAGCCACACCATTAACCGGTGAGGCAAAAACCAACAGCAGGAGGGCCATCTACATCGGGGGCTAGCTGGCCCAGGCCCAGGCCCTGCGGCGCGGCCGGGTGCGGCGGCCCCCTGAGGAGCCCCGGGCGGCCCGGGCGGCCAGGGCCCCGATCAGGGGGAGGGACATTCGCCTCAATCAGGGTGCCGTCGGCAGGGCCGCCTCGTGGGAGGGGGAGGGGGAGGGGGAGGGGGAGACAAAGGAACTAACGCGATTTAAGAGCCGGACCAAGAGGAAGCAAAGAGCAGTAAGTTTTAATTCCAGGCCCTGAACGCCACCGGCAGGCCCGGCGGACCCGGCAGCAGGTGCCTCCGGTCAGACAATGACCTGTCTGGGAAACTCTGGCCGAGCGGGGGCGGGGAGTTGGAAAGGCGAAAAATCGGGAGATCGGGCTCGCAGCAGGCATTGCTCGGCCTGCTTCGCGGCGAGCAGCGCGTTCCCGGCCTAACGCCCTCACGGACTCCGCCCTCATGGCCACTCCACGCACATAAAGGGCGAGCGCCCGGACGACGCCCCGGCCGCCCCGACCGCCCCGACCGCGCAGCCAGCCACGGCGACGCGTTGCCGAGCGTTGCGCACAATGTCGCCGCCGTCAAGAATTTCCATTAAGCACGCCCCGGGTGACGTCTAGACCGGGGCCAAGACAGACTACGTCCCCGCAGGGCCCCGCCGCCCTCGGCCTCCTCAGTCCTCAGCCCGCACAGCAGCCACCTTAAGCGCTGCTCAGCGCAGCACCGCTGAGGACCGTACGCCCTCTGGCGGCGAAGCCGTGGTCTCCCCGGTCTTCCCCCGCGGGCATACCCCACGCGCCGCCGCGTCCTCGCCGCCGCCGCGCGGAGTAGCGCCGAGCGGGAAGTCCACTGGTGCGCGGGGTAGCTGCGCGGCGCCGCGGCGCCGTGGCCCGACCGGACGGGGCAGAGCACTCCGACTGCCGCTGCCAGCGTTTCGATCGCAAGTAATGCTTCATCTGGCGGCGGAATCGCTCATCTAGAGTCTAGAGCTGCAGCAGTCAAAGGCAGAGACAGCGCCATTCATTTTACGGATCCAATTCCGAGCGAGTTTATTGCGCTGAGAGGGCGCGCTCTCTCCCTCTAGCACACAAGAGCACTCACACTCACACACTCAGGCAGCCTGAGGGCTGCCGGACAGCCGGACACAGTCTGATAAAGGAAGGGACGGCCCCGCTTTTGTACTTACCAAGGGCGGAGGCGCGGCGTCGCAGGCAGAGGCGGCAGCTGTTGGGTCGCGACGCCACGGCGTGGCGTGGCCTGGCGTGGCGGGGTGTGGCCGGGCGTGCCGGGCTGTCGCCGGAGGGCTGGCGGCGCGGCGTCCATGCAGCCCAAAGTCCCACGGGGTCGAAAGGCAGCAGCGGCAACACGCCCGGAAGAGATGAACTAGGATCTAGTGGAATCAACTGGCTAAAGAAACAGGCGGCAAACTTCCGGGCAAACACCGAGAATGGCACGAAGTACGAAGGCGGCACGAGCAAACAAGCAGGCACTCACACTCACATGCTTACTCACACACACACGCACGCGCGCGCCGGGGCATGGAATCAGGTCAAGGCAATTAATGTAACACGATTAAGAGGACCTCTCAGGCTTGCCAATGAATACACTGGCTGAACCAACCTTACCGTAATATTTAACAACCTCCTCCAGGGTTCTTAGATGCTTCCTCCACACTCCATCGAGAATGTGACTTCGACGGGCCCCCGTCAAGTACTCACCGCTGAATTCGTTGCCGACTTCCCTTCGCAGGTGCTCCTTCATGCCCTGGTTGGAGGCCTTCTCCGTGTCGAACGCGCCGTACTGGAACTTGAGCTGCTTCAGCACCTTCACCAGGGCCTCCATCATGAGCTTGCAGGTGTGCTCCCCGGAGAGGTTCTTGAAGCCGTCCTTGTCGTACACCATCATGGCGCGCTCCCACGAGTACCTGCGGGACATCCTCGGCGTTATCAGTGGTCCAGAAAACCGGCGCAGGCGGCCTAAGCTCCAGACGCGTTTTGAGCTCCAGAGTCGCTTACCAGGACTAGAATCGAACGTGTGACCCCACCAATGGATTGCTCTCCGAACGAGGGATCCATTGGTGGCGTCACGCGTTCGATTCGAGTTCCATTTATCGACTCTGGAGCTCCAAACGCGTCTAGAGTTTTGGCCGCCTCCACCGGTCTTCTGGCCGACTGTGCAGCGCGTAGAGGCACTCGGGCACGCACTCGTTCATGACGGCGACGAGGACCTGCGCCACGTCGCGGAAGCTGAGCGTGCCCACGCGGGTCATCATGTGGTACTCGTCCTCGCAGCTCGTCTTGTGGGTGGTGAAGTCGTGCGTCAGCGCCCCCACCGTCAGCAGCGGCGTGTTCCAGAACTTGACCATGCGGCCCACCGGCGCTGCAACAGAGCCAACGAATCGTTTAGGCGCCGGGGGCCGTGAGTGAGTATTAGCGTCACCGGCGGCTGCCAGCGGCTGCCAGCGGCCCTGTCACCACGCCGCCGACCGAAGCTGGAGCTTGACAGCTCCCCCACCCCGCACCCTTCTCTCCGAAGCAATGCTCGTGATCGTCGGTACACGCCTCAAAAGTCAAAAATAAAGAAGAAACAACTCGTTAAGGGGTGGTGTCATTCCTATTCAATTCCGCAGTGCACAGAAAAAATTCCAACAAGCTGATGGGTCACGCGCAACGGACACATATAATTACGGCGAGGGTCGCAAGGGCGGCGCTCAGTGCCCAGGCACGCCCGCCGGGTCCGCCAGCCCCGCCATGGTCCGGCTCCGGCTCGGCGAACTTTCTGGTGCGGCTCTGCAGGCCCTGGTGGCTCACCCCGTATAAATTACCGTGGATGGTTGTTCGCGTGTTACGGTCGCTTCAATGGCCGAGAACCAATATCGCGCCGTGCGTCCTCGTCATGCACGCCGCGTCCATTCCAGTCGATTGCCCCCGAAGACTGGGACAATGATCCGGACCCTGGCTATCGGCTTTTGGCGCCTCACTTCGCAATCCAGGATCTTTCTGTTTGCCCGTTCCTCGAATCTCTAACCAAAAAGAAAACGTCATTGTTTGGCGCTCCCAGTGTACACAAAATGTAAAAAAGTTCCATCAAGTTCCCGCCCCCTCCCACCGGGTGCGCCGCGACGACCCAACTTTATATGGGGGCCACCTTCATTGCTGCCGATTCGGGCCGATACCGACCGGATCTCGCCGCGACGTTCCGACGGCCCGCCTCGCCAGCGGACGAAGCTGCTGCTAATTCGAGGGCAGATCCCAAAGAATTGGCGGGGTGGGGCCGACTCACCCCTCCGAATCGAATCTCGCTGCTTCGCGCTGATTCGTTTGAATTGCGAGTGCGGCGCGGCCGTACAGTGCAGCGGCGCGATGCTCGCCGCGCGACTTTGTCTCGTGGCAGCGATGCGCGCTGCCGAGCCGGAGATCCGGGGAGCCGAGGATCCGGGGATCTGGACCGAACGTGGCGGAAATATCGAGCAGGTGGGCTGGGCCGCTGGGCCGCTGGGCGCGAGTCGGACTGGCAGACTGATGCCGAGAGTCGTTTTCGCCGCTCTGTCTCGCTCGCACTCATGGGGCGTTCCTATGGGTGCAAGAGAGACACAGAGCGCCGACGACGACTCTGTGAATCAGTCGACCGACTACGCCCTTTCCTGGTCGCTGCTCACTCAGGCGGCGAGGGTTGCCCGCCCGAGTTGGCACACTGGAAGAGGGTTGCCTACTCGAGCCATTTCACCACCATCTCCCAGTGTATCGACTGCCGTGCTGCTTCTCCGGAACACCCTGCCACTTCTCCCAATGTGAGAAGCGCGCCCAGTGCTTGTGCTTCCGCAGAGTCGGCGGCGACCTGGCCGCCAGACGCAGGCAGGCACGGCAGGCGCAAGTTTCGGCACCAATTATCCCGGCCCGTTGTCCACTCCACTTGGCGCGGCTCGGCTCCGACTCACGGGACAATGCCGGCGGCGCCGCTTAGAACTCGCGCTGCGGCACTGCGGCGCCGCGACACGCTGGCCGAGGAGGAGAAGTGGCATCGTCACGCCGGCCAGACCCCGGGGCGCCCGGACTCGGGTCAGGCCGTGGGGTGGAGAGGCAATCAAAGAGGTGCAAACAGCGCGTCCACGCCGCCGTGTCGGTGTGGGATTAACCGACCGCAGTGCGCGTGTGTGGGTGCGCATTAAAGTGAGCGACCATTGACCGCAGAATGGCCAGGCCCCGACAGCCTGCGAACCGAGCCGGGGCGTGATAGGGGCACGTGCAAATATCCCCCGCTCGCTCGGCGGCCAGTCGCTGATTCAACCCGCCTCCACGACGTGATAGGGGAGGCAGCCGGAGGCCGCCGAAGGCAGCCCCGAACGGCCCGGAACGGTCCAGAACGGTTCGGAACGGCGATGGCTCACGCACACAGACACACTGACGGACACACACACACACGCGCACACACACACACACACACACACACACACACACACACACTAAGGGACGCCCATAACGGCCGGGGCAGGATGCCGACGCCATGCAGCAGGTGAACCCGGAAAGGAACGACTCGAACCGGGGCGGTGCGATTCTGCAGGCGGTTCTGGGGGCGGTCCTGGAGGGGGCCCCGCCGGAAAAGGTTTCCGCCACCGAATGAGACGCAAGTTCCCCCAAGTTCGCCCCTATCGGGCGCACGTGTGACCGCACGACACCACGCGCTGCTCCGCGCGGCGGAGGGCGGAAGGCGGGTGGCGGCAGCTGGCGGCCAGAACTGGGCCACTTTCTAGCCAGTCCGAGTAACTCAGCCAAATCGCCCGGCCCGCCGCGCCGGAAGGGAAACACCAGCACGGTCTGAGGCAGCCAGACCCTCCCAGCCGACCCCGAGACACCGAGGCCACCCCGCCGGGCTGCTGGGGCCTCACCGCGTCTCGCGGCGTCTCGCGGCGCAAGGTGAAGGAGACCGTCCGCAGCGCCACATTCCGGTCACGCCCCGCCCCGCCCCGCCCCGCCCCGCCCCGCCCCGCCACCGCGTCGGGGATGCATCCACGTCTCAGGCGAGTGAATCTGGCGAGTCTGCCGACCGGGCGAGGCCGGCTCCATGGCGGGCTGCTCTACGCCCTGCCCCAGCCCCAGGGCCCCAGGCTCCGCTCCACGCTCTGCTCCGCGACCTGGCCGACGCGCCGGTAAAACGACCCCGGCGAAATGGATCCGCGGCCGGCGGGGCCCGCGAGGCCGCGGCGGGGCCAGCAGGTGGGCCGAGAGAATTATTAGGACTCATATAGCCGTAAACAAGACCTTGTTCATCACGGTAATGGAGCAGTAGTTCCTCCAGCACGGCTCTCGCCCTCGCGCTCCGGTGCCGAAAAGTGCCCTGGCCGTTCTGTCTGCCTCGCGCCGCCGCGGGGCGCCCCATGCGCGCGACAGGGACAGAGGCTGTTGGTTCGGACTCGGCCCGCGGGGCGCGGCGGGGCGCGGGGCCTCGCATAACGAGCGTGTCAACAACAAACTTGTGCGGGGCGTGCAAGGAGGGCGCGCGCACGCGGTTGGAAGCGAGGGGCGCGTGGATCAGCCCGAACACCTTACAAACTGTATGTTTAACATTTCGAAATCTTTAACAAATTTCAATTGAAGAAAGAGAAAAAATGGAAGTATAAATAATGAAAGGGGCAGATCATCGGAGTGGATCAGTTGACCAACCTCTCAGAAGAATGGAATATTATAAAAATATTGTTCTGTAAATTCCCGTTTTTGCCCTTTTCAGTTGACAAATGTCGTATGACAAATGTCTGGAATGACAGAACTTGATTGCGTCTTATCTACTGAGAGGTTGGTGAACTGATACCACAGTCATAGTGGGGTAAAGCTAAAGGCTTTCAGTCTAAAAGTTGATATTTTGGGAGGACCCTGGACCAAATCCGTCGCCATCGAATTGCGGCACCGTGGAGCCTTGGCTCGGCGTGAGATTGATTACCCAATGGCTAATGGCTGTTGGCCCGGGACCCCCACGACCTCCGGGACGTCTCCGCCAACGCCTCGCCTCGCCTCGCAGTGGAGGGAGTCTTTCCTTTCGTTGTCAGATTTGCCACACGCAACGGGCCACGCGGGGCTTCTCCAGGCAATCACGCAATTAATGTTCGCTCCCCTCGAGGGAGTCGGCATAACCCTTTGATCGCATTACGCAGATTGCTTGCTGTGATGTTTGCTGAACCGGAACAAAAATTTCTCGCCGAGAAACCCCACTGCCGGTTTGGCGCGCGGGTAATGCGATGACACGCCCGGCGCGCGGGTGCTGCCGGTGCCGCCGGCGCTGCAGACACTCACCTACACTGTACTCGCACGTGGGCCCGAAGAAGACGTGGGCGCAGTCGTGCGCGTACGAGTCCACGGCCGAGATCTGGCCGTAGACGGCGTCGCACTTGTCGTTGCCGGGCAGGAAGGACAGCAGGTCGCTGGGCCACAGCCCCTGGCGGCCCATGGCCTCGGCCGCCATGGCCATGACGGGCAGCACGCGCGGCAGAGCCACCTCGTACTCGTCGGCGTCCTGGGGCAGCAGCACGGCGGCGCGCACGGCGCACGGCGACCCCGCCACGCACGACCCCGTGCAGCTGCGTCGGCTCGCCCGCGTGTCCAGGTCGCAGCCGCCACCGCCCCAGCTGCAACAACACGACGGGAACGGCAGGTGAGCACACTCTCAATGACTTACCGCGAAAGGCCGTTTGAGGCCGCGGCCCGGCGGTCGCTCGCTCGCTCCGCGAAAAAAACTAAGTCAGCTGCCCCTCCACAATATAGAGAATTTCCACCAAAATCCACCTGGTCGACTTTCCGAGTGTATCAGGTAGCCAGCAGCCGTAGCCCATTTCAGGGGGTGAGCCGTGCCACGTAATACAGCCCGTAATATGTGCCGGTGTCGTGAGGTTTAGCCCCACCCCGGCCCTCGGCGCGGCCGCCGGCCGCAGACGGGGTTTGAATGGACTCTTGACTGCTGGGGTGGCCATGAGGCAACAACCCCTCTGCGGCGAGGGCTGACCAAGACCCGGCCGGCGGGGTGGGCTCTCCGTGTGGAAAGCAAGTTGCCTGTAAAGTGAATCAGCAGTACTCTCCTCGATGCGTCGGGAACATCTCGCTCCTATTTCTCCGAACAGAATCCGAGTCGGTGTGCAGACCGACGGCACGGAGCGCCTGCGGATCGCAGGGTAGGCACCACGCGGGCACGCGCGGCTCGCGGGGCGGCCTACCCGCCGGTTCGCAGGCGCCCTCCAGGGACCGTCCGACGTGCGGCTGCAGGCGGCACGGAGCGCCTGCGGATCGCAGGGTAGGCACCACGCGGGCACGCGCGGCTCGCGGGGCGGCCTACCCGCCGGTTCGCAGGCGCCCTCCAGGGACCGTCCGACGTGCGGCTGCAGGCGGCACGGAGCGCCTGCGGATCGCAGTGTAGGCACCACGCGGGCACGCGCGGCTCGCGGGGCGGCCTACCCGCCGGTTCGCAGGCGCCCTCCAGGGACCGTTCGACGTGCGGCTGCAGGCGGCAGGCAGGGCGCTGCGCTTTTCCGGGGCCGAGGCAATTCGTCCGTCTAACGGCGGCGCGTGCTGCGTGCTGGCCGGCGTTTTCGCCTGGACTGCTTCGGACCATTTATCAGCCAGCATGCGGCCGCCTCGCCCCGGTGCACGTCCCGCCACCCCGCCTTCCGGACGGCTGTGGACCGCCGTGGACACCGTGGACCGCCGTGGACCGCCGTGGACCGCCGTAGACCCCGTGGACCCCGTGGACCGCCGTGGACCTTCGAACCAGCGACGCACGTTTACAGGGACCTCTGGTCGGGGTGGTGAAGGCCCAGCTGCTCTCTCGGACTCAGGGGGCTGCAGACCCCCCCGCCGCCAGCCACCCCCCGCCGCTACAGGCTGCACGGCTGCTAAACGAGGCGTGTTCGTCGGGCCAGTCGGGCCGCCGGATCCACCCGCTTCCGCCAGTCCGGCTGTGCTCGAGGGGCTGGGGCCGTGGAGATGTGCAGTACAGGGTCACCCCAATTCACTCGAGTCATAAAGCTGCCAAAAGCAGGCCGGTCGGCCCGCGCGGTGGAGAGGCAGAGACAGCCCCCGGGGCGGACGACGGCCTGGGCATGCCAGGGTTGACGACGTTTGCTCGGTGTTTGGCAACACCCCGACAGCCCGACGCGTGGAAGTGCAGCTAAAGATACACGACCTGAGTGGCCAGCCTGTCGATAACGCGCTGGCATTAGCGTCACGCGGCGGGGCGGGGCGGGGTGGCCGTCTGGGCGTGGTGTCGCCGTCGCCAGGGCGGGCGTGCCCGGGGAGAGGTCCGCAAACAAACCCTCGTCCTGGGCACTCCAACGCCTCACCCGGCCGCCCCCCGTTCGCCTCCGGGTCGGGCGAGGCTCGGGGCGAGGATCGGGGCGAGGATCGGGGCGAGTCGCGGGCACGGACGCCTTGTCTTGGAGCGCGCCATCCAGGCCATCCAGGCCATCCAGGCCGCAAAACGCGGCGGCAGCCTGCTGCGGTGCGGCAGGCAAGGAGCATGGCGGTGGCGTCGGGTTCGAGGAGGGACCGAGGAACAGGAGCAAGGGTGAGGCAGTCCCTCTCCCTCTCCACGCCAGCGTGATGCCAGCGCGATGCCAAGTGCGGGTCGGCCGGGTCGGCCCGGACGGTATTTCTCCGTGACGCCGGCTGCGCCCGCGGGGTCCATTCCGGAGGCAAAAGTTGCGGCGGTATTATACGCGGAATGCCCGAAGTCGGTGCTGTATGATTAAGTTATCGAGTACTTACCACGAGGGCGCGCCCTGCAGCGCGGCGAGCAGCAGCAGCAGCAGTCCTGGGCGCCGCAGCCGGTGCAGCCGCCGAGATCCGGGCCTGGGCCCCGGCCTGGGCGGGCCCGGCCAGTGCAGCCCCTCCATGGCGCAGTCAGCCGGTCATGGCGGGGCAGCGGCGTCGCGCCCGGAACCTGGAACAACCAGCCACCGCGTCAGAGTGGCGAAGAGGAGCCGAGCGGTGGGATTCGTGAAGAAGTGGTCCGCTCCGATGCACAGTGGGCTAGAAGACCGATGGAGGCGGACGAAATCCTAGACGCGTTTTGAGCTGCAGAATCGCTAAATGGGACTCGAATCGAACGTGTGACCCCACCAATGGATTGCTCTCCGAACGAGGAATCCATTGGTGGGGTCACACGTTCGGTTCGAGCCTCATTTAGCGACTCTGGAGCTCAAAACGCGTCTAAAATTTTGGAAGCCTCCACCGGTCCTCTACCCCACTGTGCGATGGCCCACGAGAGCTCGTTATTGGCGTTTCGTCAATACTCGGCGGGCTGTTGTTCGTCTCCTGCTGCTGTCAGGTTCGAAACGAGGTCGCCGATGAGACTAGGAAGACAAGACGACAGCGTGCCCTGGCCTTGCGTCACACCGCGCGGCCCGTGGGACCACTGGAAGTAGAAGGTACGGGGGGAAGTCGGACACACTGGACCCACTCGGTCGCAGTGCATCAGCGCCTCGCGCAGCGCAGCCCCACTGTACAAACGGCTGAGACTCGACCCCCGCGTGTCCGCCGCAGCGGGGCGGCGTGCCTCGTGGTTGTCGCGCCGCGCGGCTTGAAAGAGAGGACGCTTGACGGTAATTAAACCGGCGGCAATCACTTGCTTCACGTTGTTGAGGCGTCACCGGCAGCAGGGCGAGCATGGCGGAGGCGGCGACGCCAAGGCAACGCCAAGGCGGGGCCGGGACGCAATCAGTGCAGCAGCGCCAAGCCAGGCCGAGCCAGGCCAAGCACCGCGAGAAGCAGGAGAGCGCTTTGACAACCCGCGCCGTGCCGCGCCGAGCCGCGCCGTGCCACGCCAATCGGAGCACTCTGCCGGCCGGCCGACCCCGAGTCCCCGAGCCGGGCCGGGCTGCCTCCTATTGCTTCTATTGCCATCGCCCGGACTTGCAGCGGGGCCGTGCCGAGCTCAACGCCGTCCCTGTGTCGCTCCTCCCTCCTCTCTTTCCTCCACGGTGAGCCCAATCTACCAATTTTGCCCGATTTGACGGACTCTCGCGGGCCCCATCTGGCAGCGGGTTCAAACGCCCCGCACCTGTCGCACTTGTGGATCACATCGGTGTGTGTGTGTGTGAGAGAGAGAGAGAGAGAGAGAGAGAGAGAGAGAGAGAGAGAGAGAGAGAGAGAGAGAGACGCACTTGGGGACACGCGGAATCGGGCGGCGGAACGCTGATCGCGCTGTAACTCGTCCGCAGCGTCCATCGGCAAACAAGGGGACGGGCGTGAGCGCGGCTTTTGGGCTTTGCGGTTCGGGGTTCGGTTCGGCCGCCGCCGCGGCCCGCCAGTGGCGCTGCCCGCGCGAAATTACAATAACCGGCCGGCCGCTTGGCCGCTGGGTGCTCCGTGTCCTCCTTCCGGATTACTCCCACCCGCCGCGGCGCGCCGCTCGGTTCGGCGGCTAAAATCGACATTTAGCTTCCAGCGGGGACCGTGTAAACACACACGCACGCGCACGCACACACTCACACAGACACACACGAACACGGAGAGACCGGGTCCGCGCGCGCTGCCTGTTGAAGCGTGCGACAGAGACAGAGCGCGGCGCGAGGGCTCGGATCCCCCACATGTGTTTTCACGCGACCAGTAGCGCCGCAATGGACTCCCGGAGGGACAAAAAGTTTGTTTTCGCGCGCGTGCGTTTACACACACACACACAAACATACACACACACACACACACACACACACACACACACACACACAAGTGTGTGACGCAGGACGCAGGGCACCGGAGAATTGTCCACATCTCTTTATTCAGTTTGCGGCGACGCCGATTCGACGTGACCGCGCCGCGAGGGATCGTTTCGCCGCTCTATATCTCGGTCGCACTCATGGTGCCTTCCCTGCGGTACCCTGCGGGTGCGAGAGAGACAGAGCTACGAAGCGTTCCTTCGCGACCGCGCGGCTGACGCGCGGGTCCCCGCCGTGCGCTCCGACACCCGGACGCGCCCGGAGCCCCGGCGCGAACGCGAACGCGCGGCCCGTTTGGAAAGCAAAGTGGCGCACAGTCGCGGCGGCCGAACGCAAATATTTTCTCGAAAAAGATTCGGCGCCACGACCACCGTCGGCGTTGACTTCGAGACGCCCGCCCGCGGCCCACGGAAAGGCATCACGCGGACCGAGCTCAGACTGTCATTGTCTTATTCAAAGCGGGGAATCCTGCCATTTTTAGGAGAGGGGGGAAGGTAAGATTTTAAAAATGTTGAAGAGACGGTGCCAATTTAAGAACATGAAAACCAACCCTGGGTGGGGCGAAGAGGCTCTCGGAAGGAATCCGCGAGGATTTTAAAAGACGATTCGCCATTCGATGCCCTCGTTTTTTCAGCGCTAACTTCCGCGTCGGCCTAATTCAAGCCTAGCGAACGCCTCATCAACCTTGGCTGAAAAAAAGGCCATCCACCCACACGGTAAAAACGGATCCTGGTTTTCCCAGGAGCCCCCTGGATATCGC